TTGTAAGTTTCTTGGTTAGTTGTTGAGAATTTTTTTCTTTTTTGTATTCTTCTCACTGTGCCATTCAAGTTTGTAAACGATGTGATTAATGAAAAGAAATTTTAAAATTATTTCCACGTACGTGTGTGTATTTCTGTGTGTGTGTGTGTGTGTGTGTGTGTGTGTGCGTGTGCGTGGGTATTTTTTTTCATTTAATCTCAATCCTCTCTCTCTCCGCTTTCTCTCTTTCTTTCTCTCTCTCTCTTTCTTTCAGGCTTTTTAGGTTATTTATTTATTTATACTTCCCTTTGATAAATCCGTCCGTTCTTCAAAATTTCGAAGATAAATGTTAATAAATTATCAAATAAATTGTTAAAAAATAATTTTAAGTAATAAAACACTTCATAAATATCATCTCTTCAAAGTGAATAAAACGTTTCCCGCCAATAAAAAATGAATTTAAAAATTTTCAAAAATTTATTTCAATTTTGATTTATCGGCAGACGTTTAGTTAATGTTGTGTGTGTATAACTTCTTCTTAGAGATATGACAGATTTTTAGCTGTCTGCAAAAATAACTCTTCAAGACAATATATCTATCATTCTCTTCATCGCCATCATCGTCATCGTTATCATCATTGCCACTATCATCATCATCTTCTTCTTCTTCTTCTTCAACGTCATCATTTTTCATGTACGTCAAACCCTTAACTACTTTTGAAAAATAACTTTCAACGAGATGAATGAACAGCATCATCGTCATCATCGTAATTATCATTATTATCATCTTAATCGATTTTTTCATCATTCTCAGTATAATTACACATCTATCGCTTTAATCATCCTCTTCATCGTCATCATCCCATCATCATTATCATCACCACCACCATCATCATCATCATCATCATCATCATTATCACCATCTTCATCGTCATCATCTTCTTCATCATCATCTTTTTCATCATAATTCCATCATTATCATCATCATCACCATCGTTATCATTATCACCATCTTCATCGTCATCATCTTCTTCATCATCATCATCTTTTTCATCATAATTCCATCATTGTCATCAGCCACGCAGCTTGAATTCTGCCAAGGTTACACGGACAAGAATGGCATCTGGAACAACGGCTTCTACTGCC